AGTCACTAAAACACAACACTAACTACAATGCTATTCTGCCCTAAAACACAAATATACATATACATAACAGCTGCTTACCTGAGTTCATAAAAGACACAAAACTTAGGAAAACCCTGACAGCATACAGACTCCGTGAGCACAGCCTAGCCATCGAAAAAGGCTGGCACAGGCAGACCTGGCTGCCCGGAGAGGAGAGGCTGTGCTCGCCCTGCAGTCTGGGGGCCAGAGAGACACAGCTGCACTTCTTAACCCAGTACACCAAATATACTGAAATTAGAAATTCAGTGAACTCAACTCAATCCTCCCTGAGTTTCAAAACTACACAAATGAAGAAAAACTACCACTCATTCTGGGAGAGAAGAAAGATTTGGCCATACTGGCAGCAAAATATGTTGCAGCCTGCCTCAACCTGAGGGACAGCCGGTGAAGACACCAACTCCATCTCTGTTTGGAATCATTACGTCATCTGTCTTATTTCATTTCACTTCTGTTCAACATTATCACTCTGCTTTTATTTGTGGATGTATGCGGCTTTGGCAATAATGTCGTCATAACGTTCATGCCAACAAAATGGAATTAATAGTTTGCACATTTTTCCACAGGTGGGCAGTAAAGGAGTTGGCGTAATATCCCTTTCAAAAAGTGGAGATGTTGCACTATCACTAGCATCTTACCTGCCAAGTGTTGAGGCCATAGTGTGGATCAATGGCTGCTGCGCCAATACAGCTCTCCCCCTCTACTATAAGAAGAACCAAATCCTTCCTGCGTTAATGTTTGACATCAGCAAGTTGATTCCCACTGAGTCAGGGGCCTGCATGGTCAAGTATGTTGTGCATAATCCCCTGGCAGAGGAGAACAAGGCCACTCTGGTCCCCATTGAACAAGCCAAGGGACGTTTCCTGTTTGTGGCTTCAGAGGACGACCTCAATTGGGACAGCAATGCTTACATGGAGGAGATGGTGGAGACACTGAAGCGCCATGGGAAGGACAACTTTGAGAGTGTGTGTTACTCTGGAGCGGGACATTACCTGGAGCCGCCTTATGGACCCTACTGCCCCGTCAGCATACATATGATTGTGGGTAAACCAGTCCTGTGGGGGGGAGAGCCCAGCTCCCATGCAGCAGCTGAAGTCCACCTTTGGAAGAAGATCCAGGAGTTCTTCAGAACCCACCTGAGCTGTGATGCCATTCAGACTAAAGCCAAGTTATAGAAACAATTATTTTACAGGAGACATAGGAACAGATCAATCATGACTTCTTGCCAGTTAACATTAAATAATTGTATATCAATGTTTTGTAAGAAAAAAAACTGTTTGATAGATGATTGAATATTTCATGTATTGGAGGATTAAGACTACCGGTATTCACAACCTGATGCAGGGTTACTTCTGTGCACTGAGAGAAAATTTTTATGTTGCACCAATAGGAATAATTTTTCTATATTCATAATTTCAGCAATAAAAATTGACAAGCCCAAACTGAAAAGAGTGAAAATACCAGTTAATGATTGATTTTCTATATTTACACATACTGACTTCAGCTATAAATAAAATAAAATAAAATAAATGATTCCATCACATTCAAATTCGGTTGCTGCAGAATACAAAGTATATTTTATTGTGAGATGCTTTATTAAAGAATATCATAAGCATTTCTCTGACTTCCTCCCAGACTGTGGCCACCAGATGGCGAAGTAATCCTCTAAATAATCACGTGTAGCAGGTGTGAACAGAAAAAATCCAAGCAAAATTTGATTCATTTAAATGTAAGACTCTAAAATCAGTAGTTATACCTCTGGCAATGTCTTCTTCAGTGTTTGACTAGAACTGAGGTTTCTCCTTGTTTGTAGACAACTTTCTTCTGTAAAATCATATATATAATAAACTGTATATATACAGACACACAGGTACCGTGTATCATGAAAAAGCTTCTTTTTCCCCAGTAATTTAATTCTTCAGGCTTTTGTCATTTTAATCTTGGCTTACAGCTCATGGAAATCAATTAGCCATATCTCAAAATATTAGAATCAGAAGGAGCTTTATTGCCAAGTAGTGTTTTACACAAACGAGGAATTTTCTTTGGAATATTATTTAATATATTATATTTAGAATAAAGAATGTATAATACAGAAATGTTGAGCTGAGAAGAGCCTTTAATTTCTCAGTCTGGTTCAGTACACATAACCACAGTCATGGGGAAAACTTCTGACTTGACAGTAGTCTGGAAGATGCTCATTGACCGCCTTAAGGCGGGTAAGCCACAGAGGGTCATTGCTGAAAGGGCTGGCTGTTCACAGAGTGCTGCATCAAAGCATATTCATGGAAAGTTGACTGGAAGGTTAGAGTGTGGTCAGGAAAAGGTGCACAAATTGTCCTTAGGTGTGGGTGTGACTGGTTGTTTGTCTATGTGTGGCTCTGTGATGGTCTGGCAACCTGTCCAGGGTGTACCCCGCCTTGTGCCCGATGTCGGCTGGGATTGGTTCCAGCCCCCCGCGACCCTGTACGCAGGATAAGCAGTTGACGATGGATGGATGGATGATTATGAAGCACAAAAGGCCATCTTTTGTTTTCTTTTTAAATTGTGACAGTTATGTTCCTCCTTTTAACTTAAAACAAGACAAGGGCAGAAAAAAATGCCCTTCAACGCTTGAGTGATTAGAGTAAAGTAAAATCAAACATTGAAGAAATTACTGCAAAGCAATAAATCATAAAATCAAATTATGAGTGAACAAATACACTTAAAATACTTAATCTATCAAATCTTTGTTCTGACATGTTGAGAAAAAAAGTCGTAATATTACAAGAATAACATCTACATTTATGAGAATTTATAATATTTTTAACAGTCAAACTGCCCTAAACTCTGTTGTGCATAAGCCTGTGTTGTTGCTCTGCTGATTTGGCCACTTCAGACTGTCTGCAGACAGAACCGTTCTGCTGGATGAGAAGAGGTGGATAAAGGAGACTTACTGAAAACACTTCTGATCAGACAGAAATCTCACCACAAATCCACACAAATATTCACTTCAGCTGCACCTCAGATAAAGTGCAGCTCCCAAACAGAGCAAGTAGTAGAAGTCCGACACTCCTCATTTTACGCATGGAACCATGATTGAATATTGAAATGAATGGAATGAAGCATGCTGACAATATTTTAGAGACCCCCCAAAATATCACAAATCACGCTTTTAGGGGAGCTGATGTCTTGTTGAGGGATCTAAGCTCCCCTTGGCTCCCCCGTAGTTCACATCCTGAGTAGAGCTGCAACTAACTGTCTGGTCAATAAAATGTTTGAAAATAGTGAAAAATACCGATTCACGTCCTTAAGATGTCTTCTAATGTCTTTTTTCTGACCAGAAATCCAAAACCCAAAGATATTCAGAGAATATCTAGACAATCTAGAAGCTGGCGCCAATGAATCAAAAATTAGGATGAAAAAAGAAAAAAGGAAGTACTAAATCAGTTTGTAGATTGAATAATTAATTTAATAATTGTTTTTCAGCTACTTCAAAACAAAATTTGCAAATGGAGTAGTCAGCTTGATGCAAGTTATGCAGTATCTATAAATAATAAAATGCATGCATCTAGATGCTCTGTGTTTCATTATATTGCTGTCAAACATCACCAAGGTTTATGGATGTCACCAAAAAAAGTTCCATAGTGATGGAGAAAACTACAGCAGATTAAGGCATAATTAGCCTACTTAAACTTGACAAACTGTGCAGTGATCATTTCATTAGGCTAATGATTATTTTCATATTTTAAAAATCAAGCACTTTCTGAGAAACAACAACAAACAACAGGACTATTTTGTCACTCAAACCAATCACTCAATTACACTAGAAGCCAAGGTCTCAAGGTCCCATCCGTCATCTTAACCTTTTTAAAAAGATTAGCAGTATTAAAGTAGGCCTACTTTGAGTCTATAATATGATCTATAAATAATAAAAACTTGTCCATACAATTAGTATTCTACACTAACATTTAATGGAAATATGAACGTGATCTGGTTGCCTACTTTATCTGTTTCTCTTATTTTATTTTGTCCTCATATTTATTTATTTTATGCAGTAGATCTTTCTTTGAATTCTTGAGAGAGAGTACTTCTATTCATGGACCAAGGCGGAGTGGAGCAAACGCTCAAATGTTTGGCTTAGCTTCACCAAAAAAAGATAACCACGACAGAGCAAAATGAAACACCTGCAGTAAGGAGATTTCGTGTAAGGGAGGAAGCAGCTCCAAAAGTAACGAAGTATTTATACTTCAACACGCACCGTGTTCAGTGTGTTGCGCCCGGGCTGGATTATCCATATGTGACACTGGGCGAGTGCCCAGGGGCACCAGCCAATGGGGGCACCAAATCATAAAAAAAATGAAAATATTTGTCAGATTTTATAAATATATATATGTATATATATTTATTTATTTATAAAAAATTTAAACCATACAATAGCTATATTAATATATATAGTTATATTTACATATGCGATTTGGTGTAAGTGCCCCCCTACCCCCTCCCCCGATCTTTGTCCATTCCACAATGACACAGTGCCACCTAATCTATCATATCCGACTAATTCAAAATGGACAGGCGTCAGCTAAGCGGTTGTGCTAAGCAAAAACTAAAAAAAGAAAAACAATCACAGCACATTGCCACGATTCATAATGTACCCGCAATCGCAAGCTTTTTTGCTTGGAAAGACACATCACCAGCAGGAGCAGAAGTAACCCCGAAGCTAACATATGTGCTAGCAGCGAAGCTAATATCTGCTCAGCTGATCACTCAGGAAGACGCAGCAGCTAATGTGAGCCAAGGTGGGAACCAGGAGACGGAGAGCAGCGAGGATGATGAGGAGGACAACGAGGTTGATGGCAAGCAACAGCAGCAGCAGTTGCTGGAGTATTTTACAATCTCAACAGACCCTGAACTATGGGGAGACATCACGGAGCATGTCAGAGAAGTGGCCATTTCTCAAGGTCCTGCAGCTTTTCAAAATAGGGCATCCCAGCATCCGTGCGGGACATTGGTATTGGAGGTAAAACGCGGTCACTTACCAATGATTTATTGCATTGTTGCTCCCAAACAACGAGGTAGTTTCTAGAGAGTGGTTAATTTACTCACCATCAGCAGGTATGTTTTACTGCTTTGCCTGTAAACTGCTGTCCTCACAACAAAATGTTTTTACATCCGGGTTCTGTGACTGGAAACATCCTGAGCGGATTATGGACCACGAGAAAAGTGCAAACCATAGTCACAGCATTCTGGCTTTATTGCGCAGATCAAAAAATGTGGGCACAGTGGACGCTTCACTCAGGCGACAGCGTGATGCAGAGGGGAAATGGAAGGAGGTCTTAAGGTGTGTTGTGACTATAATCAAATTTTTGAGCGAGAGAGGCCTAGTATTAAGGGGGCGATAACGAACTTTTGGACTCACCAAGTAATGGCAATTACCTTGGACTGCTGGAACTTATTGCACAGTTCGATCCATTTTTAAGAGAACACATAGAGAAGAATGGTCAAAAGGGACGAGGGACAACATCATACCTGTCATATACTGTGTGTGAGTAGTTCATTTGCTTAATGTCGGTTTTGTTATGCTCGGCTTAATGGATGAGAAAATAAAAAAAACGATTGCAGCCGAACTACAGCACGCCAAGTACTTTTCAGTCATTGTAGATTCAACCCCAGATTTGTCGCACATTGACCAGTTGACATTTATCTTTAGATTTTTCAACGAGGAAAGGAAAGTGGTGGAGAGATTCATTGGTTTTGAGCCTATTCACAGCCACATTGGAGCAAGTCTTGCTGTAATGTGTAATTAAAAAGGTTCAGCGTCTGGGGTTAGACTTGTCAAATTGCCGGGGACAAAGTTATGACAACGGCAGTAACAGGGCCGGTAAATATAACGGCCTTCAAGTGCATCTGAAAAAGTAAACCCCATGATTCATTACGTGCCTTGTGCTGGACATTCACTTAATGTCGTCGGTGTAAACAGCATTGACAATAGCTGTAAAGAAGTGAGCGATTTCTTTGACCTACTTAAGTTATTGTATGCGTTTTGTGCCAGATGTTTTGCAGATGAGTCCATGGAGAATGACAAGATACTAAATGAGAGACCACAATTTAAGGTGGAAACGTATAATGTATAATCATCGACAGGTTGCTGTCCTGTCTTGCTAAATTGCATTGACAGAATCAGAATCGGGTTTATTGCCAGGTACATTTTCACATACGAGGAATTTGCCTTGGTATGAATTGGTGCTTACAGTACACATAACATAAATAGTAATATAAAAAATAAGGAGATCAGAAAAAATTTACAAGTATACAAAAAATATAACAAGATACAATAATACTATAATACAATGCTGACAAGTATGTGCAAAAGTTGGCAACATGAGCATAAAGTACAGTTGAGCGTTGTTGGAAAGTGTGGGGTCAGGAGAGTGTATGAGTGTGTGTGAGTTTGGGGAGGGGGGCATGAGAGTCACTCACAGTGGGGACCCGGGCCTTGTTGATGAAGCCCACTGCCATCAGAAAGAAACTGTTCTTGTGGCGAGAGGTTTTGGTCCTGATGGACCGCAGCCTCAGGGACTTAAATGAACTCTTTGGTGTTTTGTTCGATTCTTCTGACTGTGATGGTGTGCGTGAATGCGCTGCTGCGCTCTCCTCCACATATCCAGATGACCTGGACAAAGATTTTGGAGATGAACTTTAGCAAATTCTTCTAAACAACTGGCTACAAACTACTTTCCCAAGCGTGTTCGTTGCACTCAGGCTGTTCTTAACCCTGCCCGTTACCAACTGCGAGGGCGAGAGATCCTTCTCTCAACTTAAAAGAGTAAAGAATGAACTCAGGACAACGATGAGACAGAAGCGGCTGTCTGCACTCTCCCTGCTGCCAATTGAATCTGAACTAGTCCAGGGACTGGACTTTGAGAATTTAATTAACGACTTTGCATGCAGACAGTCAAGAAAAAAGATGTTCTGCTGAAGGTAAGGCTTATTTACCATTAATTCGGGGCGAATATGTGATGCTGTGGTTATTTGATTTTAGTATAACTAATCTCTTTTAACTGGTTGCTCAGCTACCATTACTTGTAAAGTCTGTGCATGTTTTTCTGCTATGTATGTTTCTCTGTTGTGCGTCTGATGATATTTAGCATGATGTGTCGAATTGGTATGTGAGTTGCATTCAGATTTGAGCATCAGTGTAAGAGCTATTGTGGTATTTGTAGGCCCATGTCTATTTATGGTGTCAGGTTTTTGGTTGGGTCTTTTGGCATTATTAGCCAACCACTTTTTACCTATTTTTTTTCTGCAGTATTTGTGGTGAGCCTTTACTTTAGCAGTAAGTTCATGTATTGTTATGTATTGTATGTTATTATCATCTATTGTCTTCAACTAATGATTCCAATATACATTTATATTTTATACACATACGTGTCCCCAGGCCAGAGATACCTTTCTATGGGAGCAAGGAGAAGGGGATAAATGTCACAGAGCATGTCCGAGGTGACAAGATTATTAACTTACATCCCTTTGCTAGGATTGAGTCTCCCATAGGTGTTATCTACACTGGGGACACTGGGGACATGACACCACTTTTTGTTGAAATTCTGTCTGTAATCAGCCACCTGTTCACCGGCTAACACTTATTATTTATTCACCATTCTCTATTTCAGTGCTGTTCATACTGTTAGATTGTCATATTGTAGATACTGTATACAATCCTGCATAAAAGCAGCTTGTCTACGCTGTCTACCACAAATTTGTAATTATTTGTGCCTTCTTGTAAATTATTTGTGCCTTCTTGTAAATTCAGCAAATATTGTACAATAAGTTATCTCTTTCTATGTGTAATAACATTGTGTCCCAGTACAACAAATTGTTACCTGGACAGACACACTCAATTATTTCATCCTGTACCTAACTGGATCAGGTTGGGTACAGAGGGTAGCCCTGACCCCGTTCTCAATGCTCCAAGTCACCACCCCGATGACGCAGGAGTTACTCTTGATCTGTTGGAAGCCCTATCCCTCCCACCCTCTCTTTGAAATATTCTAAATACTATTATGTTTTAGTATGTAAAAGGTAATGCTCTGATGTACAGGCAAAGTCAGGTGACATAAGGGATGAAGTCATGGTGGTGGGATGTGTCAACACAGGACCAGGACCAAGGAGACTGCTATTAGATTCCCAAGTGAAACCAATATAAATGTAATATAAACCAAATAGGGGAAGAAATAGGAGACAAAGTTCAACAAAATTAATGAATAACTTGTTTAATGTGTCAATATGTCAAAGTCTCCTGAAATAATGTGGCTGTCCAATTTATTCTTTCACAATCTTACTGAGAAAAGACCAGTAGATTCAGACAGGATGTCCTCCCAAGTCAAACTGAAGCTGCTGCCGAGCGCCAGGTGCTTCTTTGACGAGCCCGTTCAGGTGAAGGTGGCCGGGCTGAGGTCGAGGCAGGTGGTCGCCGTGAGAGCCAGATCGACTGACGAGAAGGGAGTGGTGTTCAGCTCCACGGCCATCTATTGGTTGATTTTTTTGTTGTCTTTTGTCAGGCCTTAATTCATTTGTAAATGTAAAGGATTGTCCTTTTGTTATTTTCTCGTTTTATCAAAAAAGTGCAAAGAACATTAACACGATAAACACAATAAATTGGTTATGTAGCTATATGTAGCCACAGGCTTATATACCTTATGATGCATGTAAAAGTCTAGGAATCCTCGCTTAGTCCCCAATCAATCTCCTCCTCTCAGACTTTAACTCGGCTAACGGATGAAATTATCATCATCGTAAAAATCTGAGATAACATCAAATAGCACTAATGAATTGCAGAGGAGAGCGTGAGTAGTTGTTAATAATGTAATGCAGTGAACAGACTGCTGTCAGGCGCACGGAGACGCCGCGGTGGCGCGCAAACAGATCTGCACATCTCGCAAACAGATCTGCACATCTTCACCACCTGCACATTTGGACTGTGTACATTAAAACTGCCTGGAAATAAAACAAGTGACTGCTCTTGCACAATCGCTGCACTCCACCCTCATCGTAATGCAGGCCGAGCATAACAAAACCGACATTAAAGAAATGTGTTCACCTGCAAACCTCAATCTTCGCACCATATCCAGGGTGGAGGATACCACTGACAGAAGGGATCATTTTGGCAAGGTGTGAAGTTCTCTGTACGATTGCTATAAACATAAATACTGCGTGACACTCGTCTGTAATACTGCGTGGCTGCGCTACGGCGCTGTTAGCAGCAAGAATGAGCAGGCAGGTGTGTGTTTGATGTGATCAACAATATATAGAGTTTACCTTTCTACCTTAATCCTTTGTTTAGAATAATGTAATTCTGTTAAACTCTCTGAATGTTCTTTTGTTTGTGAACGAGCTGCATCAAACAACATGTGCTTTCTAACTTCCACCTCACAAGCGCCTCGATTTCTGTGTTAGAAAAAGTCTTTCCCTCTTCTTCTTTGACATGTCAGACCATGTTTTCTTTATTTCAGCCAGTATGAGTCTCTGAGCCGGCTGCATTGGCTGCCATTGTAACACTAATGCCACTCCATCGTTTTGCGTTTGTTGCTGATCAAAGAATTAAAACCATCAAATAAAATATTTCTCCTCTCCTCCACTTCAGTGATCAGCGCCTCGATCTTGCACTCAGCGTAGTTTCTCTTTTTCACGTGTTTTGCAGCAGGATCGGTCGTTGTTATTTGGACTTTAGGAGGTGATCCTGGCGTATTTATGGTCATTTGCATAGCAATTTATGGGAGGAGTATGTTATGCATAATCCACTGGCAGAGGAGAACAAGGCCACTCTGGTCCACATTGAACAAGCCAAGGGACGTTTCCTCTTTATAGCACCTACATAATTCTTGCTTATTGTAAATGTCCCTTACCATAGAAGAGGCTGTTGAATGTTTGTTATGTAGTACACAGTGAATGAGTTACAAGGGAGTGATATCACCGATATCACTTCCTTCCCTTATTCTCTGTATCTGATATCATATCAGATAAAGATAATATTAAGCACACAATTATCATAGTGACCAGCGATCAGAAGCATGGATAGTGGAAAAGGTTGGATTGGGCAGACAGTTAAATCTCCATGGGTTTGAACATGAACACACACATTACAATAGTGACTCATCATTTGTAGATTATTTGGTTCTAAGCAAGAGCATAATATAATTGAGGTTATAGTGGCTCACTAAAGTTGTAGAAGTAGAAGTATAAAAAACTAAGAAAACACTTTATGAGAAGATCTCATATTTAATGTAAAATCGTAATTAAATGTTACTTTATAACAGTTCATAATCTTACGCACAACTGATTACGGAGTGTTAAATGGGTTAACATTGTTCAAGCAAAAGAGCAACTAAATGAGAGCTACATTTTAACTTACCTCGACCATTTTTGGACAAGACTTGGCCTGAGCATAGTCATCAGAAATCCCTACCACAATGCTATGTCACTACATTGAGACTGATGAGAACATTTTTGGGGGGTCCATGGGAATGCTACTGTAAGAGGAACCTCTGGATGGAATAAAAAAAACTCATTTTGTATCATGTGTGAACAGACTTTTTTGTATAGAAGGAGGATGCCAAAAAACAACAACACTGCCTTGCACAGAAATTTTAATCCAGCACTGTATTTTTTTTTTTTTCAACCCACACTGCTTACTTACACTTACGCTTTTTTAGGTTTATAAGTGTTTCAACCTTCTCCCCGTACAAAACTCAGCAGATATTTACCTCAAAACAAACACAATAGAAGAGAAGGAAAAAAGGAAATTAGAGGTGGGGGACAAAACATGACCTTTTGGCTCACCCTGATCTTTCTATCTTGCTCAGTCTTGAGAGATGAGAGATAGCACGTTATGGTTCCTAGCCAGCTTGTTACAGCGCAAGTTCATCAAGATGGCAGTACCAGCCTTCATATGCCTCCTTGATTTTATTTTGCAGCATCGTTGAAAAGTTCTCTCTCTGCCTATTTTCTGTTCTTTGTGTTTCTGTATCTGACTGCTCCCTTTCTGTCATTTCAGTTTGACGGAGCTCTCGTCAGACTCCGGCTTTTGAACGCCCGGGAATTATTTGTTCCACTACTGTATCTGCACGAAAAAAATGTACAAGCATCAGAAAAGAAGGTTGACGTTGTACTTGGGCTTCTGTGTTCCTCAGAAAAATAATTTTTGATCTGCATTGAAACATTTGATACATTTGATCACATGAAAACATTTCCACTACAAACCTGAATGCTGCAAAGTGATTAAATAAAATGTTATCATGATTACTTTAGGGTACATCATTAGAGCAAAAAAAACCTGCCTGATAAATTACGACACATCCAGCCAGTGTTGTGGTGGTGGTGCTCTGACATTAATGAGTGAAGTCGGACACATATGTGCAAATCTAGCCTCCGAGACACAAAAAACGCACTTTTAAAACTGCACCTTGTTTTGTATAAAGCATGTGGAATATACAGGATGTCACTGTACTGCAAAACATAAAGTATAAGTACTTAATAACCAGCAGTGTTGGGAGTAAGTAGTTCCATGTAATTTAGTAAAAAATGTAACTAATCTTGTTACAGTTACTGGAAAAAAGATTAAATTACAGTTACTTATGGAATTGTTCATGAGTACATTGGGGTTAAATCTGAATAAAAAAGCTTGGCTATATGTTAAATAAAATTCATTTTGTTTCTTTGCATGTTTTTCATGTGCACAATGTCTTCCTTTGTGATCTGTTTAGTAAATTTTGATGCTATTCTGATGCTTTTAATTGGTTCTCATGTTTGAATTTGCAGCGCCACCGGTCTGCCAGTTAACTGCCTCTCAACCTATGCTCTCAGCCTGTCTTTTGAAAATGGTTAACAGTTGAATACATTAATTAGACATTTAGAAAAGGCATCAAAAAGTAAATACATTTAATAAGTTACGTAATTTTGAGAAAGAAAATAGTCACAGTTTTATCAAAGTTACGTGCCTTTGGTGTGAGAGACCGGGGTTCGATTTCTACTGTGACCCTTCCACCAATGTGTCCCTGAGCAAGACACTTAACCCGTCATTGCTCGAGAGGCGTGCGACCTCTGACATGTATAGCAATTGTGAGTTACTTTAGATAAAATCATCAGATCAATGAATGTAATGTAATTTTGAAATGGGTAACTTGTAATCAGTAACCTATTACATTTATGAAGTACAACACTGATAACCAGCAGATCCTAGGCCCATTGAAACTTTCATAAAGCCAATTAGAAAGAATATAAATTTGCACTCAGAGGTCTTTAAGACAAGGCTTATGGACCTAAAGGCCCTGCTAGTGGCTTCTTACGTTAATGCATTTTGTTTCCATACTGAGAGACCCATGTTATAGTTTTATTGTTTAGCCCATATTCCAAACTTTACTAATACTGTATCTGTATCTATGCTTGTTTATCTTTCTTTTATTCAGCTGAGTGGGTCTCTTTCCTGTAAGTTTGCTCTTTGCACTGTGTGTAAGTACAGGGAGAACTACTGAGAACCAGAGCCAAGTTCTTGTATCTTTGAGCGCCTTTGTTCAATAAACTTGATTCTAATTTCTAATCTGGACTGAATTGTAAAATGTGAGCACCTCATTCCTGTAAGAAAGGTAAATCAGTGGTTGCTAACGTGAGGAGTTGACAACTACACCTCCCATGTGGCATGGTGTTTCTCTCTCACACCCAAGTTTGAATGTTTGGTCACTGATGAGTGAGTTCACTTCACCAACTCACTTCCTTCATCTCCTCACGGCTTTTAGTTTTGACGTTTGCCAGAGTAAGAGAGGTTTCGGAAAATTTAAACACAGCATGTGTTGTCCCTGGTGTGCTGTGCCTAACATAACACACCTGCATCATAAATCTCACTGCTCCGACAGTCATAGAAACAGCATTAACAGAAACAAAGAAACCATACCTTCATACTATTACCACACATTTTTCAGATTTAACCCCAATCTACTCATGAACAATTCCATAAGTAACTGTAATTTAATCTTTTTTCCACAGTTTTTCATCACTTTTATTTAAGCTTACAGGAGTCTGCCATTGCTTTTCTGATTAAGAACAAATGCCGGTCCTCCACTGACAGGATATCCATCATGACGCCATGTTTTGTGATCGTGCCTGCAGGCACCCTGTGTACACAAGCTAGAACTGCTGCATTTTTAATGAGTAATAATAACATGGAAGCAGCAAGCAGTTGCTGAAAGAGAAACACAATCAAAGAGCAAACATCCTGATAACGCAACAAGATTTTTTAAATTCAAGTGATAAAGACCTTATTTGAACTTCAAACACAACTGTTGAACCAAGCAGTCCAGTTCTTATTACATAATTATTTAAATTGCAAGTGTATTAGTGTGATACACCAACAGGCCCTTTCACCTAATCAGCTAAACATATGAGTCTGGTTGTGTACTCTGCTTGTTCACTTTCAAGCTTTTAGCACTTAATGCAGTCACACAGCTATTAGACGAAACCATCCTCCCCAGAACACCACTGCAGTGCCGCTAGCAGCCAATAAAAATACATAAACACTAAGAATATTTCAATTAGTAACACAGTTTTGTGTAAACAACAGCCCACTATCACATCAAAGTTGCTAAAATTTGACAAAGACAATTCCCTACTCTATATCTGAAGGACTGATTAGGAATCTCTCCAGCTGTTTTCAACTTAACTTATTTGGAGCTTTAAAATTACACATTATTAAATTTTTATTTATATTATTTATATTTTTGCTTAGATAAGCTTAGCTGATGATGGAATCATTAAGGAAATTTTACTACACTAAATGTGTTACGTTAATGGTACTTGGCTGTTACAAAGGAAAAGAATATGGGAAATGTTTTTATTGTGACTGCACGCTGTGTGTTGTATAGACTCACTTTGTCAGACGTTGTCTTGCTGAAAGTAGAATGAGCAAACGGACAAAAATATCCCTGAGACACAGATTTTATGCTTTTATGCAATGTTATCACCCTCACTGCTGAGACACTGCTGAACAGAATCTCTGTTGCCATCAGGTGTAGATTTACGTATTTATTATATTGATTATATAAGATCAAGAGAGTATTGTGAACATTTCTTTTTATCTTGTATTTATGATAATGCTGTGAATTAGCACAACTATATATTGGTCTATAGGTGCTGGTGTTAGAATAAAATAAATGGCACAGGGTGACATGGAAAAACCCCACTGGTGCCACAACTCTTATGTCTGAAACATTAAACAAATCTCTTGCACTTCGCTCAATAATGCACCACATGTCAACTTCCATTTCTTCACCATTTGAGGAAGCCTTCAGTTTCCAGCTTCTGTTATCTTGATTATTGATTGAGGGGAGATTTGAATCATATTAATCAGTCTTGTTCAAAGGAACATTGTTGGTATATTGCTCGTTTGCTGTCTTGCTGGGAGTTGAAAAGATCTTAACTGGTTCAGGTTCAGGGTTCAGTAGAAAGGCAGGTGAATTGGCCCCTCTGAAATAACAACTGGCCCCAGCCTGGCCCCCTTAATAAAAATTGGTCTAGAACCGCCACTGATTCAGCACTTTTCTAAGATGGTTTCCCATACCACGACAGACAATGTAAATGTCTGTTCCCACACAAAAGCATCATCAATCCATCGTCAACCGCTTATCCTGCGTACAGGGTCGCGAGGGGCTGGAACCAATCCCAGCTGACATCAGGCGAAAGGCGGGGTACACCGCCAGTCCATCGCAGGGCCACACATATAGACAAACAAGCATCATTCAATGTAACTGAATTGCGGTTCAATATTTCCAATGTCTCTGACTTGGACTTACAACCAAGAGGCTGAAGTGAACACATTGTCTGACTCAGTTGTAATCACAGTCTATACAACTGAATGCAACATAAATCTGTACTGAATTAATAAAGATGAAACCAGTATCTTATATTGTTAGTAAATCTGCTGTAAACACAGTTCATTAAAGTTTTCTCCATTCTACTAAGAATTCAGTTTTGATGGGGAAACCCTGAATCCTTTACTTTTTCAAGTGACTTGAAAGTAGTCACATTTTGATACAGTGAGTCTAAAAATACTGGCCTATAATATTTAGACCAACTACACTAAAAACCCCAATTTCATGGGGGGAAAAAATTTAGGCTACGTGATTAAGCGTAGCCTTGCTTGCAACTTTTGATTGTCTAATTTGAAAATAAATCTTGCATGGCCACTAAGATTTGAGCAACTTGTAAGGACCCATGAAGAAAATCCCTGTTGTAGCCTTTGAATTCATAAATAACTGGGCATTACTTATTAGTTAAATAAGATCATTAAATTCAGATCATCATTCATGCAGCAACATTAGCTACTTTAAACCTTTTATATCTATGGCCCTCGTTTCTGTCCCCGCATCGAACATCCAAAACAAGCACGGCTACCGTATCATCTTTTAATTCTTTTAACAAGGACACAAGGAAGCAGTGATTCCAGAAACATTTATTCAAATCCCCCCCCCGGCAGTTCAGTGGCCTGTGTGTTTGGCAGCGCTCCTCGGGCCTTCGCCAAGATGCAGACAACGAACCGTGTGAGCCAGGCTTTGAAAACAGCTGATCAAAGACTTCCATGTTTCTGGTAAATGCATAAAAATTCCTTGTTTGTCCCACGGGTTCGGTCGTTTTGCCTGATCCCAGTGAGACATGGTTCACTGAGACTCACTAACATGGATGTACTGTAAAGATTTCTATGCATCAGAGCTGCATGGGAGTATGCATATTTATTTTTCTGAGTCATGTCTGCTAATGCTGTGTAGATGTATGTATTTATACAAAAATACAGTTGATGGGGATAATGAGGAAATGCACTCACATTTTATCTGTCTCAAATAGATGGTGATTCAGAATACCAGATTTACCTTTCTGCCCTTCAGCACGCGAGAGAGGAGATGATTTCAAAGTCAGGACTCTAATTTACTACTGTCTGCGTGGGGTGTAATGCATGTCATGTGGTATCATCTTCAGCCCTGTGGTGTAAAAATGTTTCTCCTAATGATGCAACACCTTGCACACCCTCATGGGGGTGCTACAGTTGAACATTTTGAGCTTAAATACTTAAAGCTTAAAAGTCACAGGTGCCACCGGTCCAGTTATGAGGGATGATGCATCTTGCTGGACTTTCAAGTGTCCTGCATTACTTAAAGCTGCGGTAGGCGCTTTATTTCAGAAGCATTTTATGTTATATTTATTAAGATTGGTTTGGTCAAAATAAACCCTTATTCACAGAGTTAGATGTGAAAATATTC